TTTTTGTATCCAGCCTTATTCAAGTGGTTCCAAACGGTTTTTTGTGCAATGTTTAGCTCCTGAGCAATCGAAACAGTGCTTACATGATGGTCGGACTTGACGATTTCCATTATTTTATCGACATTTTCGACAATTGGCCTTCCAGAGCGTGGTGCATCTTTGACATCAAAATTACCGGAACGGAATCGACGAAACCAAAATTGCGCGTGATTGGCTGTTACACTATCAGGACCATAAACACTTCACATTTTCAGCCGCCTGGCTTGCGTTTTCGCCTTTATCGAATAAAAACTGTAAAATATGGCGTATTTTTTCTTTGCTGGTGTCCATCTTTGACGCGCGCTCAAACCATACTGAGTCAAACAATTACAAAACTGTCTGAGAAGTTTTTTTAGTACGAAATCTTATCTTTCTAACGCCATCTAGCGTAAACCGATCGCACTTATACAACGCGAGATATACATTACTAAAGCCATCTATTGGAAAAATAATGGATTTCTTTGTACTACACTTTATAGTAGTTGTGAGAAGCACTAATGAGAAAACTATTTACACTATTTGTTCAAGAGATAGTCATGAAAACGATTGGTTTGAATAGCTTAAGCTAAATATATGTGCGTTTTATATTAATGTTCGATCTGATCTTAATTGCTCGGTCACCAATCTTGTTTTCATTGGCTGGATCACTTAATAATGTCTGATTTACGCATACGATGCATAATTGTATGCATGATTATGCATACATACAAATTTATATGTATGTACATATACATATGTATATATACGTATATGTTATACATACATACATACATACATACATATATATATATTAGGACCTTAACTTAGTTTCCGCCCAAAAAATACTGAGAAAAAGCATTTATTGTAAAAAATTTATTTAAATTATTTCAATGAAAGTATTTTCCATCACTTTCTACAACTTTTTGCCATCTTTCTGGCAACTGGGCGATACCATCTCGATAAAACGATGTTTGTTTCGAAGCAATCCATTCGTCCACCCATTCTCGCACTTCTTCAACATTTCGGAA